AGATGATTATTAAAAATTAAAAATTATTATATTCTAATAATAAAATTAAACATTTTTTATGTTTATCTATTTTTATAGATATAATATATAAATATATATATTACATATTATATGTTTAAATAATATATGTAAACATATATTAAAATTAGAAATATATTAACATAAAAATGCAATGGATAATAGGAACATAATGGATGGAATAGATTATTTTAAATAAAAAATAAAAAATGTTTTAAAATTTTTAAATATAATTTAGATAAATAATATACACTTATTTTATTTTATTAATATTTAATATAGTATTTTTATATTTTATAGCTAATATATAGTTGATGTATCAGTGATTTCAGAATCATCATAATAAAAGTACTTATATTAAATATAGTTTAAAGAATTTAAATATATAATTTTTCATAATCAAAGCAAATATTTATAATATTTTTAGAAAAATTAAATTATAATTTTTAATTCATCTTATAATTCTCTATAAATCAATTCATTTATAATTTAAATTTTAATTTATTGATTTAAATAATAAAAAAAAACAATATACAAATATATATATTAATTCACAGTTAACATATTATACTTCTTCAGGATTATCACTAGCTTGATTTTCTGTTGATTGTGAACATATTTGTTTCAAAAGAATATATATATCCTCTGGTGATATTTGAAGTGCTAAGAGTTCCAATATGATACTAAAAGAATAATTTTTTAAAATTATATAAATTTTGATATTAATTTTTTTATATAAACTTGTAACGTAAAAATATACTTTTATCATGTTTAAATAAATAATTATTAAATTTATTATGAAATATTAGAATATGTATATAATATGTAAGGTTATCTCAATGAAGCTTTCACATATAATGGTATAGGTTATATTTATATATTTTAGAAATTATTACCGATAAACGCCCGGAATTGTTGAAATTCCTGCTAATTCAGCTAATGCTATCAATTCAACTTGATGAGCTTGTGGAAATGTCATTTTATCAATCAAAAATTTCCTATACAAAAATTTGATTTACCGCGCAAGAATACCTTCTTGATAACTATAAGTTATAGCAGTGCCGCCATTACTATTCATTAGTTTTTTAGTAACTTGTAGTAACAATTATCGAATGCAATACAATATGCATATCGAATGTAAGTTAATATTTTATATTAATAATTTATACACTTCAATTGTACTTGTTTATATAATTTATTATAACTTATATTGTATGAATATTATTCAGTTTATATGAAACATCTATATAAATGAATGAATTACATAAAATATGTTATAAAAATTAAAATGACACTACAAAATTTTTAATATTAAAAAATAAAAATATAAAAAATGAAAAAAATATTAAGTTATACAAAATTAAAATCGTAAAAATTACAAGTATGATAAAAAAATATCGAAATCAATATTACTATTTTATTTAAGAGAAATAACAATATTATATAGTATTATATAGTAAATATTTAACATGCAATTGGTTATAGAAACAGTAAAAATTCATGAAAATACGATTAAAAACTTTATTTTGGTTTGCTTCATAATTGGGAAAAATATATATAATGTTGCGTGTACCTGTAGGAACTTTGGACTACAGATTATGTCTGGGACAATTGTCGTTTTAGGTAACATGCTAATTTAAAAAAAAAAGAAAAAAAAAAAAGAAATGAACTCAAATCGTGTCAAATACGTTACCAACGAACAAGTTGCGAAAGAAGGGGAGGAGGAAAAAAGAAGTAATCTTAAACCTACTACTAGAGACTAATATTTTGTTAAATCTAAATTTATACGTTGGTAACAAACGTGGTATAAAATATGGTATTTGATACGCATTGTACGTGCTTAAATGAACGACAAAACATATACGAAGGCTGCAACGTCCGTGTGTATTTCGCATTTTGGTCATCAAATGCGATATTTTAATGTAACTTAATAAGACTTAATTACAAAAAACGAAAAAAAAAAAAAAATAGAGAAATGAAACAAAATGATAATATTATAAAAACACTAGAATAATCTACAATTTAAATTTGTTTCACACATAAAGCTGACCATGAAACGAATCTTACGCATGGCACACGGATAATCAATCTTTTAAAATTTGACGCTGAACAACCCTGCTAATACGTATAAAATTATGTACAGCATCGCGAGACACAGTTTTGTGCTTTGTTCTTCATTACAAGCGCACATACTAGCTATTTATGGCTTGTTTTCTTTTACTTGTTTGAAAAAATTTGAAATTTTCAACTAGCACGTACATTGTACGTCATGCATTGATCAAAGTCTAAAAAAAAAAAAAGTGATACACGAAATTGTTACGAATGTTTATCATGAATTCCTATTACATTAGGAATTCCTCAAAGAGTTTGTCCTTTGGAAGATATTAAATGCTTAATTTCAGCAGGGTTAATACTCTCTATTTGTCTCAATGAAGACTCACGATCGTTCAATTCTTATACGGATAAAAGCAACGCGGTGATACAGAGAAGCAACGATCGTTTCAACTCGAATTCTAATCTTTTTTTGTCAAAGTGCCTGAAGTCTCATGTTTTTATTTTCATCGTAAATACTCATCTCTCATAAGAAGCGCTTAACTGAGCGGTTCTCGTTTTTTATGAAATAAAACTTATTTTTTACAGATTAAACATATTTGAAGATTCTTAAAAATATACACTGCTCTCTTAATATTTCTCCCTTTTTTCGTATCCAAAACGCATTATTCTTGGCTGTTCTTTTTTGACTAGATTTATTCTCAGTTGAAAGGTTGAAAAGATTTAACCTGATACCACGAGTACAAGGTTTAAATAAACATGTACTCGTTCTTTAACCAGAACACACTTCTGAGTGTTCATCCCACGCAGCAACCTAAAAATTATTTTATATAATTATTATATTTTACAAATTATATTTTTTAAGATAAAAATTAAATTTTTAATCTTACTTGACATTCGCGACTACAATACCACTGATGGCCACAGCCAGCACATACAAATTGTGCTACGCGCTC